TTGTATTTCAAAAGTAGAGATCTACAGGAGTTCCCCAAGGAAGAAATGAGGAAGACTTAGCATCTAAAATAGGTTGAATAAAAGTTTTGAACTTATTTACTAGATATCCTAGATTATAATTAGTATTTTGAAGGGCTCTTTGAATTCGGAGAAGCTAGCCTATACTTATAAACCACACCACCAGCTTAGACCGCAACTTTATGAATCCTTGTAAATTTCTGGGTAATTGGCACCTTTTTTTCTCAATTAGATTATTTGGCCTTCTCTATATCTATATTCAATGAATTCCTCTTGGTAGATATAGGTGGACTCCGCCTTCTCTCTCCCTAGCCTACTTCTGAATGCAATCAACAGTAAATTTATTCGGGCCGGGAGAGTTGCCAGAAATCTCAGAAAGGATTCAAGCAGGAACTCTGCCAGTATCAGATCTATATTTTTTTTTCCATGATGTGATTGATTAAGACGATTAAGCGGCATGTGGAGTATTAATGAAGCATGCCAAATCCAATAATTTTATTATTACATAAGTGGCCGTGTACTCAGTCGGCCATTGGTTAGTCTAGTATTTTTCAATAGGATAGTTATTTATCACCCATACATGCTTTGAATCAAGATTGTATTCATATAGAGCTGTTATTTTGAACTCTAAAATAGTCACCCTTTTAATCAAATATGTGATTTTACCCAAGAATCGATGTTTTTTATGGATGTATGAATTTCTAGTCTCCTTTGATAAGCCACAATCTCTGCACAGGTTGCATCTTCTTGGGCCTTGATCCGCTGTAGTATAAATCAACATCTATTGAAGAAGAATCACTTGTTAAGTGCCTCCTGGATACCAAGTTTGTCAAACGCCATCCAGCACTGCGTACGCGATATAATCGAAAATTACACACCATAGTGCAGAGCAGGAGAATTCAAAGGTCATAAAACAGTGGCTAGACTGTACATGCAGCTGTTCAAGAACTGTATTAAGCCCGAGTTAGATTGTTCTTGAGTCTAAAGTTTATAAATGTAGGAAATAGTATGTAGGGATTAAATATATCTAGCAGAATCAATAGGTAGAAAGAAATGAAGCGTGATACTATTAATAAATGGTATGGCTAATCTATTTAGAGATCGATTGTAAATCTTTAAAGTGAAGCCTAGTAATACAAAATTATAGTAAATAGGAGTTAGACGGCTTTTGCTATAAAATATGTCTAGGCCAAGGGCTCTAGAATCAATATTTATTAGTGATTTTATAGTTCTAGGGCAAAAGCCTACGTAATTTCCCGCAACCGCAAAAAGTTATATAATTGCCCAACATTACCTTTCCACGAAAATCAAGCACACATCAGTATTTTTACTACATAATTAAATATGTAATAGATAAGTGACATATGAATGATAAAATAAAATATAAATTAAATTAGATTACTGATGTTTATACCACCTCTTTGCCTGTAAAACTGCATTAACACGGTTCTCCATAGACATTACTAACCCATCAAAAAAGTACTGTCCTAAACTCTCCCATGCATTCTCCATGGCCTTGTAAAATCGCTCTTTCAATTGTTCTTTGATCCCATTAAACAATTCAAGGTCTGGATAGAGCATATATACGCTCTTTCAACTTGGCCCAGGCATGTTCAATAGGGTCCAAATCAGGTGAGTAGGGTGGCCAGTCAACAAGAGGAATACATGTTCATCAAACCAACTCTTAGAAATATTAGTTGTATGTATGGGAGCATTATCTTGCATGAATTCCATACCAGATTCCCATATAACAGGTAGATAATCTTCGATAATCTATCTCCAAATAGGACCGTGAAGAATAAATACCCTCTTGGAGCAAATTCTTCATCCCGACTCGTTCGATAGATTTCAGTGTGGCCACCACCCCAGACTGCCGCCCAAACCATGATAGATATTCCTTTGCTTTTGGTGTATGGGACTATATGCTTCTTTTTCCATTTTTCATTGAAGTGGTTAAGCCGCCATAAAACCATTAATTCTGCTTCCCTTTGCCAAGCTCAACTGAGCATTTAGCACTCCATATAATCTTGCTCCACTGCTCATATGTCCCAATCCTTGCACATGAGTGCCCATTCGTAGCGTAGTTTAACTGTTTCCTCAGTTAATTGAGGTCTTTTTTGTGCTCTCCAGTGGTCATACCCAGATTCTTCTAACATGCGTGCAATGGTGCGTGTAGAGATGGGCTTCCCAAGTAATTTGCAGATATCTTCGGTTTTGATAAAGGGATCCCGCTTTATTTGTAAAAGAATATATCGCTTATCAGCATCAGAAAGGATCTCTGGCCGTCCAATGCGAGAAGAGCTAGTGCCAGTGGTGGAGGATTGATATGTTGCAATGGTGGTTTGAATCGTTGTATATGGTAAATTCATTGCGCACTGAATATCGGCCAACTGTAATTCCCCGTCGGAAAGGTTCTAATTCCTTTCTACTAGTCTTATTTGAATTAGTCGACTATAAAGGGGTGCAGGCATGGTCTAGGTAGTTGAAAGGATGATGGACAATAATCTGGTCGCGCGTCGCGCGACGCGGAATTACGTAGACTTCTGTCATGTGACTGTATAACTACTACCTCTTTCGAAAGAGGCCTGTCTCTAAGCCTGGGTAATTGTATATCGTTTACTCTGCTGGTAGGCATGAGAATTGTATTAATAGATCTTAGCTTTTATTTCTTTATAGTTATCCCCTTAAATTGATTTCTTTACAGTCCTGTTAAATGATATATTTTATAACTATATGCCTTTATCAGTATAGACATCCCTTGTAGTTTTTTTTTTTATTGGAGCTTGAAATAGTTCATGACTACACGCACTCTCTGATCACTAATTATTTATGAAGGCTATCGTTTATTTATTCTTAGAACCTACCGGTAGACTTTGAACTAGAGTTATCATAGAATGCTACCAGCAGATCTATTGGCGTCATATATTTATTCTATCAACAACAGCCTTGGTACAATTATAAATACTTTAGTTATCTTTTATCTTTATCTGTTATTATATATCACTATGTGTTATCATTAGTTCTGGATATAATAAGCATCTACTTTTATGATAATTTTATTTGACCAGTGATAAAACCTGAGATCAGGCAGTATTCTAACATTTTATGTTTAAAATATAGGAGATAGTTTGTCACTTTATTATATATTTATAGATGAACAGTTATTATTTCAATGTTTTTACTGTTATCTTTAGTTTAATCAAAGGTCTTTTAATGTCAAAGGCTTCGTCTCTAAGTCTACCATAAATGCTTATTTGTCGTGAACTGTCTGCCAAGGCCTTTGACTGCTTAAGAGGACCTTTATGGAGAGAGGAATGCCTGCAAATTGCGGAAATTTATAACATATTAAGGAACCCACTTTAGATGGATTCTTGGTATGAATCATATGGATCAACGTGGCCTGTATCTGTAGATATCTAGATATCAAATGTGCGCCATCTTGCTCACCTTTTATTAACTGCACGATTAAAACCATCCCAAGATGCTTTTACCAATGAGAGATGGGTTTCCCGGTTGATTGAAAGCCGTCCTGAGCTCAAATCCAAGTATACCCGTCAATATGGTTATCAGGGTGCCAAATATGAAGATCTAGAGTTGATATAAGGACTGGTTTAATCGTGTTCAAAACACCATACAAAGGTATGACGTCCTTGGGCAGGATATCTACAACACGGATTAGGGAGGCTTCTCAATGGGTGTGGCATCAGTTGCAAAAGTTACCTGCGGGTCAGAGACAAGAGATAGCCATGCCAAAATTTATCCTGCGTGGACATTATGAGTGGATTACTATAATCATTATTATATATGCCTCTCATTCATCTCATCTACTTCAGCCAAGAATATGAGCTGTTTTGCACTGCTCAAGCACTACTATGGCCAGGAAACCAAAGCGATGGCAAAAAAATGGCATGGATGCCATTGATAAAAAAAATTCATATCTGTATACTCCAGCATTCATGGCTGTGCATTCCCAAAGGCCAATTATATGGAGTAAACTTGCAGCTGCTGGTCTTATTCTTTTCAAACCAGAGACGATGCTTGCAAAACTCAACATCCAAGACCAGCAACCAATCCTTCTATTTAGGAAGGGTATCGGTCAGTTTCTATTAATTGTATAAGATGAAAAGCGGATTTGAGACTGCCATATTCAGTCTCTATCTCCAGTTGTTGCGGAGTTGGATGCTTGAAAATTCGTGAATAGTACAGAAACTACATAGACATCGCCAAAACCCAACTTTAGGTCGAAGATTTCGATTCAAACCCAAACCCAGGCTGGGTTTGGGTTGGCGCTCGTAACCCAGAACCAAACCCAAAACCAAACTAGGTTTGAATTTGGGGCCCCAGAAAAAAATCCAAATCTACAAAAAATATTTCTTTTTTCATGCATAAAGCTAATTATTCATCCCAATAAAATACGCTTGTTCAATGCTATAACACCGTTTCTACTTTCTATTCGAACTTCGAAGTGTTATCAGGTGCAATTTTGAATTAGAAAAATTGGTGAAATTCTAAAAAAAGTCAATATATTAATTAAACAAGGATAATAATAGCTTCTCTTTGTACTACTAGTATTAATCGCCTTGTATGTTATGACTGTGACTGTGGGCGTGGTACTGATTGCATGTGCTGTCTTGAATATATCTCTTGAGTCTTCAGTATAGTATAAAGTAGTACTCTAATAGGCATTTACCTGACAATTACACCAGCCGTTGATGCGGTCCTTAAGCCTTCACAATTAAGAGAGATTTTATAACTGTTATTTTGTACTATATTTATGAGATTTCTCACCTTAAGGAGAATGTGTAATTAAAATATAAGTAATAAAAGAGGCTCTCTCACTGTAATGCTTGCAGGTTAAATTCTTTAAACCTCTTCTAAACTATTAATGACAAGTTTAAGATCCCAAATAAAATAACGGCTTTAAAAGCTGATGAGCTCTATGCTGTTGTTAAAGATAATAAGAATGGATATCTCTCGATTACTATTTATAGCATATTAATTGTATAAAAATTTAACAAATATTTCTTTTTTCATTAAACTCGCAGTGAATTAATTTTATAAATCTAAGATTCAATCTATATGAACTCCTGTGCTTAGTGGAAGACTAGACTGGATCTTCATTTAATAGTCGAGCTAACCTGATAAACCTGATTTAAATCGCCTGTGATTTAAAATAAGAATAAATTGTTACTGCAAGATTTAAAGGATAGTTCTAAGATATACTGTACATGTATAGATTATTATTAAGTATTGAAAAGATCTACTATATTCTCATCTTTAGATTGAAAATTGATTTATTACGATAATCAAGATAGATAATGTTATAGATATAAATGTATTTCACGGCCGAACCGCGCGATTTCTCTGCAATCAATGAGCATTTGCATCATTTCAACAGTTTTCCCATCCATTTCATACAGAATGCCTCTTAAGGAATTCCGCATACAAATGGCCATTTCTGCATATAAAGATTTTTTTTCTTAAAAAAAAAAAAGAAAACTGCTATGATATTTGGGGTGTGAAGCTACCCTTTGCGAGCGGTTCTTTATCAAATCACAGAAACACACTCAAATGGTCATAATTGACATATTAAAGGAAAAATCTCTTGCCAAATGACTGTTAGATGCTGATGAATGACGCTTTTTATTTCGACCGTGATTCTTGCATCAAACTGTGTAGATTTTACTTCAAGAATCTACACCTACTGGAACCTTGGTGTCAACTAGGCATCTACCTTAATCAAGCGACATCCAGAGCTAAAAATACGATTCGACCGGCGGATATTATATCAACCGGCGAAGCAAAAGGATCCAGAGGTTCTAATAAAATGGTCCACAACTGTCCTTTGAGGCTTTTAGAGAGCATGATATCTATCATGATGATAGATATATGGAATTTTAGTGAGATTGGCTTTACAATGGGTCACTGTACAACCTCAAAAAGCCATCACTGCAGCTGAACGCAGTGAAAGACCTCGCATAGTTATCCAAGGAAATCATGAAAGTGTTACAATTGTGGAGTGTATTGATTCTAGACTGACATATTCTAAGCAATATTCTACCTGTGCAAAGCGGTTGCTTATTCTTGATGGTCATAGGTAGTTATCTGACTGCAGATTTCGATACCTTTTGTGGAGAGAATGGAATCATCTGTCTTTGCATGTCCCACGTACATCTCACCTTTTTTCAATCACTGGATGTTGACGTCTTTGGGCCGCTTAAACGCCCATATGGAAAGCGCTAGTAGAGAAAATGATGGTTGCTGGCAACGATCAAGTTGACAAGATTTCTTATCTTTCTATCCAACTGCACGCAAGAGAAGGGCTTAAATCACTGGATAAGAGTGGGTTCTTACAAATACAACTTTCTGACTTCATATATCAACTCCACCGAGTCTTGAAAAAATCAAGTCTTTACGTGCATAGAATGAACGGAAGATACAGAAGGGGGCAAGAAGGAAAGTTGATCTAGGCATGGATACTGTCTTATCCGTATAGGAAGGCCAGGGGCGTTTCCAGCAGCTTGATACACATGGAGAACAGGTTTTCTCGCCAGCATGCTCCATGACGATGTAGTAGTGGTTGTGGGATTATTGGGCATACTATAAACGGATTGCCCTAATAAATAGTGTTATATCCGACTGTTAGATACCTATTTTAAGAAACCTAGTTATTATTATTTTATATTAATAGGAAACTAGCAGCAGATACACCTTGAGGAATTGCACCATCAGCTCAGGAGTTAATGTTTTAGTAAAATAATTTTTTGGGGCAATTGGACTTTTAATAATATGAGTACCTTCAACTAAGATAACTTTTTTTTGTACTTGGATTTATCTAACTGGGTCTTTAATTTAACCCTTATCAACAAAAGTTATAATCATAGTTCTTCTAGTAAGGTCCATGATTAATAACTTTAAGATAGCTTATAGACTAAGAAAAAGTACTAGAATAGAACTTTAAATATAGTCGCTTATCTCACTGATTTTTATATATAATTTAAAAAGAAGTCTTTAATGTTTTTATCTAAAGTTTTTTATACCTAAAATATTTTTATATGGTTAGACCTTGATAAGATTTATTAATTTTTTTTATTACTGTATATGGACTTCTCTATAGTATATTAATAAAGATAAATAAGAATATAGGAAGCCTAAGATTGAGATGATAGTATAT